CTCGTCACGGCGCGCATGCGCGCGCAGACGTCGCCGACCGCGGCCTGGTATCGCCAGTTCAGTTGTCAGTATAAATGTGACGTCAGTGATGCAATGGTTTGCAGTTCAGCCACAAGTCAGTTCGACAATTAGAAAATTCATGAATGTCGAGCACGCGTATAAATGTTACCACAGTTCTACCAGTTGTTATGGAGTCGGTGACGAAAAAGATAGGGAACTAAATATTTACGAATTTAAAGGGCGGTTCCTCAATCATCCGCGAAATATATATCCGACAGCATCCTGAAAGAACAGAACAGACGGAAAGAACTCAACAAAACTCTAACACAAAATTTCATTTCTATCAGTGTTGTACATGTTACAATATGCGTGCATTGCGTATGATAATCAAATTATAATACAACGATTTCCGATACAATCAGTAAAATAACTATTAAACAATAAACAATAATATTAAATGTACGCATCAACGTCGTAATAAACATCAGTACGGTATGTATGTATATCTATCAAGTACTGTATATATATGTGTGTATGTCTGGAACACGGTTTAATTCAAACTTTCTCGCGCACAAACAATTGCGTTGCGGGAGGAAAGTGATTGACGGGGCGCAGCAAGTCAAGCGGCGGCAAACGACGGACGAGAGGCGCGTCGATTTCTGTCAGATGAGCTGGTAGGACGACGACGGCGCGAAGGGTGTCAATAAAACGCGCGATATAAGTCAATCACGCAGAGTTACGCATCATAAGTGGGTGTTATTATAGTTACGCGGCGCCGTCGTCGCGCGGACACTCACCATTTCATCGTCCTGCACGGCGTCCGCTGCCGGCGTGGCGTAGTAGCCGTCGGTGTCCTCGTGACGGTTTCCGCGTACTGCGATGGCCTGGTCGCTGGAGCTGCAGCAGCTGGTGGTGGTGGTGGTGGTGATACGTGTTGTTGGCCTGCAGTGGTGCCGCCGGGCCACCGACGTGCGGCGTCTTCGGTTGCGGCGTCACGGCGACGGCCAACTGATACTGATGGTGCACGCGTTGCAGCGGCGGCGGCGCGGCGGCCTGATGGTGCTGGTGCTGGTGTTGGTGCGATGCGGTGGTGGTACGCTGTGGCGTGGCTGTGGCGGCGGCGGCGGCGGCGGTGGTGCGAGGCGGCGGCGGGCGCTGCGGTGCGCGCATAAGTCCGGCGGCGGCGCTGTTGCTCTCGGCCGTGCGTGCCCCAGGTACGTGTAGCGTACCGTGATTGCTGATGGCGCGTCGCCGAAGGCCCGGCGGCTCGCTGCGTGACGGCGGCGGAGGCACGTGGGTGCGGACTGAACCGGCCGGTCACCGGACGGAATCGCATCGGCGTTGCGGCTAATGTCGGACGACGACGGCGTGTAAGCGAACACCAGAATGTAACAGTCGAGAGAGACGCCACCTGTCTGTCTGTCTGTCTGTGGTCGTCGACGTTCAAGGTTTTCCGAGACGTCAGTCGTGTGAATCGAGTGCTCTTCGACGTGTCGCTTAAGAATGTGTGAGCGTTGTCTACGGATCGTGTCGAGTGCGTGTGCGTAAACTGGCCATCCGTCGGGTTTGTTGCTCTGCGTGCGTGGAGAAAAGAGACGAGAAAAAGTAAATATAACGGAAAAATATAAAAAGACGAAAAGAGAAAAGTAGTGTGTGCGCGCGCGCGTCAGGTGTGGCGGAGAAGATCCGGTACTGATGCGGACTCTAGTCGCACTGGTCGCGGCGACGGCTCGTCCGGCGAGGGTCGGTGCGTGTGTGT